CGATAAAGTTATTCTAGATAAATATTCTTAAAGAATCCAGTTGCATTTTCAACTTTGTTCCTCCTATATATTTCCTCCTTCACAAAAGCAACATTAAATTACAAGAAACAGGAAACTCTTTGTATCACAACACATCTACAAATGCAATGAAGGTAAATTTAAAATTATGCCAGTATATCAAACAGACAATTATTCTTACCTACAAATACAAGAAAAAAAACTTCATGGTCAAATTTAAACCAGCAGCACTAAACGTGTCATAACTCCACACACATAAACACACACCACATAAACATAAGTCAGACCAAACACACACACGCAAACAAACCATAGAATATCTATGGAGAACGAATATATGCACACATATTTGCAAAAACAAACACACGGAACGGACTGCAAGCACACACACACATACACGAGCCCTATACACCATACGAAGTGTATATATATATATATATATATATATATATATATATATATATATACTATTTCCTTATAATAAAACAATATAGATGTATGGAAAAGGAATATATAACTAGCAAAAACACGCAGACGATAAACAAAAATGGCGATAGGTTTAAAAAAAAGTACAGAGGTCATAAAAAGACAAGAATAAAGACCCTCTACTTTCGCCCTTTTGCTGACCAATCCTAATGTTTTTTTTTATTACCCCTGAAGCAGAAGAATATTTACTTCACAAGTCCAAGAAAATCTGGATTACTACTACACAAAAAGACAATGGTTAAAATGGGAAAACATAAGAAAAAATACTTGCGTTAAATAAGATGTGGAAATATTCTTCGCCTGATGAATGTCGCAAGGTCCGAAACACCAGTAGAAAAAATATGTAAAATAAAGTATAATATATATTTAAAAAATCCAAATCGTAACCAAAAACGTTTGCTGTTTCTGTCTTCTCTTTAATATATATATATATATATATATATATATATATATGGTGTTAATATGAAATACTGTTTTTGGAGCCAAAGTTGCTGTTTTTTCAGTGATTTGCTGATAATGAGGCATTTAATGCCAGCAGTTTTTGTGGTAGTGTGCTCAATATGACGATAAAAATAGCCTTAAAAGAATTAATGTGAAAAGATTTTTTCACCGAATTCATGTTTATTTTAGAGTAATATAGCCACGAAACTCCGAAGTAAACAAGAGTTAAGTGAAAAATAACTGTTTCATAATATTTCTCTCTCTCTCTCTCTCTCTCTCTCTCTCTATATATATATATATATATATATATATATATTATCCCTCATCGATAGCCCAACTCAGTTTCGTGCACAACGTAATCATCAGGTACTGAGTATTGACTGCCCATTATGTAATTTTAATAAAAATATCTGGTTTCCGAAATGTTAGTGCATTAATATATTATACTGAGATTACAGTTTTTATTTAAAAAAAATATATTTTACGTTTAAAACAAACGGGATCTGTATATATATGTAAAAAATAAAATGTTATTTTACAGTTGTGAATATTACTTTTTTATTAAGTATAAAGGCAAATTAATAGTTCTTTAAAAAACAATAAAGAAACCAGAATTTACATTAAAAATTAATCTAGATCGACGTATTTAAGCAGGCATATATTTTTATGAATACGTGTAAGCATCAATTCATTTCTCTTGTTTAATAAATTCAGGTTATTTAAGTGTATTAAAAAAACTAATTTTTCAACAAGTCAAATTAAACCTATTGCCTTTTCTATTGTAAGTTTTGGCTCTTGCTACAATATCCCAGTTGATAATAGGTGTATTAGCACCATTTTTAATTGCCAGAAATATTTAGAGAGGACAGTGCTGTTTTTGTATTTGATGTTGCTAAAGTCATTCGATGATGGTAGAAACGGAATTTGCAAAGATTTTCAGTGGAGCCAAAATAAAAATTGACATCGTTACCGGAATGCATGCTAACTCGGTATACAATATTATCAGTCATACATTGACTGTTTAAGGGACAGACCATAACTTTTCGTCAGTTGCATTTAATGTTGTCTTTGGTGGAAATATATATGTTATGTTATGATACAGATTTATCGATGTTATTAACGCAACTATAGCTGGTCTTAAGCTTTTTTTTTTAAATCTTTTTTATTGTTGGTGAATGATTAAAGTACTTATGAATTAAATTTAAAAAAAAATTCCTTCGATATTCTTATGAACATTACAATAAAAAGTGGATTAAACCATATAATGTTACTTTTACGGTGCTTCAGGGCTTGAGAGGTAAATTCATGATGACAGCAGCTTGCATCAGGCTGCCGACTTGTTCTCGTAAGTAGAACATCACCTTGACTGCCTAAGCCCCCTCCGCTGGATCGTCCTTAGTCTGGTCTATTCCCTTAATTCTTACTGCTATGGATGACTATGCTAGAAGACGGAGCTCCTGGCACCATTGCATTCAGGTTCCTTGTAATGCACAAGCTCTTCCGTTACGACACACAATATACACATTATATATATTACGTATTTTAGAAGATAAAAAAATTACGGTTTTTTAAGTATATAAAATGTTAGGTAAGCAAAAACACGAGAAAGCAAGACAGATTCCGAAACAGTCGGACATAAATAAACAAACACAAATACCGAAAAGTTTGTTCATTTTAGTAACAGAAAAAGAAAATGAAAATATATATCGGGATTTAAGCCTAAAATACTCGGAGATGAAGTCATTATTTAATATACAATAAAATAATTTATACTACCCCTTTTGATAGTACTAAAGCCTAAACTGCCAATGGATTAAAATGAACGAGAGTCGAAAATGCGAAGTTGATAAATATAACTTTAGGTAAGCCAAAAACAGAAAGAGAATTAATCTTCAGGTTAGTTGTAGAAAAACAAATAAATACTAATAATGAAAAAAAAAACAACCTGGTAACTGTAGAAAAAACTTGAAAGAATTTATAATAAACAATAAATGTATAACAATAATAATAATAATAATCTGAGGAACAGTTTGTTAATTTATTTTATATATATTTATCCATAAAATACTAATTTAGCAGATCTTGTCAACCTTGTGAACCTACAATAGATTTCACCTTTGGAACTGAAACCAACCACACTCTTTCCTTCGTAGATATCATGTTACACAATAATGAACTTAATTTTCACGTTTATAGAAAAGCTACCAACAAAAACGACCAGGTCAACTTCTATTCAAACCATTCCTCTAAAATGAAATCTGGTGTAATTATAGGTTTCTATTGAAGAGCATTTGTAACTCCTAATATTTGCCCAAAGAAGAAACGTACATAGTAAACACATTTAAAAACCAACAAATATCCATATCACTTCATCCACAACGCAAGAAGAAAGGCATACAAAATATTCAACTGCAACAAAAAATAACATCCATAGTGACAAATTATACAAGAACAGATACCATAATGTTACCGACCAGCTTCGTAACGACCACTATCCGGAACAACCTATCTCATCCAAATAAATAAAGACATCCATAACAATAATATATATAATATAATATATATATGTAATAATAAATATAATATATAATATAATAATAAATAAAAGAAATAATAATTGCAAATTGTATTCAATTTTTATATTACTTTTAGTAATATTTACATTTTTCAGTTAAACTTAAAATCCGTTAATTTTTTTTGAGCTTCATCAAAACGCGTCATCTTTCCTTGAGTTCAGAACGCACACTTCCAACTAAGCCTCGTCAATAATCAAAGCCAAATATTCAGCGTGTTATTCTTCTCCTCATTATACTAACGGTCATCGTTGCTTTAATGTTCCTGTCGGCATTATGATTCATTCTTTAGTATCAACTTCCCTTTTGAACCTCTTTTGATTTTGTCTAGTGATTGTAAAGCATTGGGGAAAAAATAGCGCTTTTCAGGAAATAAAATAAAATGAATCAATATAAACTCTATTTCAGTGATATTTGATAAAAGCATTCTAAAAGAAAAAAAAAAAACTGACATTGAAATGAAATCGGTAAAGTGTTTTTATTCACCCCCCGCTCCTTCATGTTGTAATTTAGTCGTTTTTATTTTGTTGCAGTCGAAGATATCAACGCTCCTAATTCTCCTCCTTGTCTGAATAACTCAGAAACTTCAAAAACTTTCTTCAGTTCTTGAGATAAAAGGAAACAATCTTTATTGTTTTATTATGAAATATTAATTCAACCCGTGCCATATTTTTGTGTGATGTTCATTCTGTTTGCTTTTGTGTTGGGTTAATCAGTGTATGTATTAAACTATATACATTTATTTTTCGTATTTTCAAAACCTTACTTATGCTATGCAACACCCGACTGTGATAAATATCCCAGAGGAGATTAAAAAATAACTGCATTAATCCGTTTTTTCTTCATAAAAATCCTGTCCGCAATGCCACGAAAGAGTTTGATTTATACAATCTTTCAAGAGTGCTCATTTTCTAAACAAAATAACAGAAAAAAACTCTTTTCTAAATACCATGTCTCTTCAGGACGCAAGAGGTCATTACTCTCCACAGCATCCTTTTGTTAATTATCACTGAATAGCTATGTATTCTTGTGAAAAAAAGAAAGTAGAGTGGTTTCTGCTTGTCTTTTCCACGGTTTGTAAGGCAGAATTTTCCTTTTCGTGGATTGGGTACCAATCAAGGCTAGAGAATCTAGTCTACCCTGCTATTTAACCTAGATCGTTTCATGCTTTTCTTTGTTGCACCCAATGAGCGTTTCTGCAAAAAGTGAACCCCCCCAGTTTAGCCGAAAATATGAAATCGGCTCAGCGACTCCTTTTTTGAAGCCGATAACCATTATACTGAAAGGCCATACGCTCAGATCCCTACATGGGTATTAATATAATCATCGAAGAGCACTCGCTCAGCCACTTCTTTTTGCTTCGCCAATATTTTTACTAAATATCACGTGTGTATGGTAGATAGAGAATCATGTCTTTTTCATAATAGAGATTTTAGCTGAAACGGTTCTCGTAATTGTGCCCGCAATTAGTTTCAGGTTTACCGTTTTTAGCTTTAATGCACTTGAATAATTGGACCATTTCGGTGCCGTCGCCACGGCGATTTCTTCTTATCACGCCCAGAAAGTATAATATCTAGTTCTTGGCGCATTGTTCCTCCAGTGTGTATCCCGCTATTGCACTAAATGGGCTACTGTCAGAGTATTCACTGTGGCGTTCAAAACATAAAATAAAGGAAACTCGACTGATTTCTCTTTTCCCATACGTACATGTATGGGCTCTACTTTAAATCCACCTTGTTTTAAACTAGATTCGATGGAGAATCTAATAGATACCATACCTAGCAACTAGATCATACTTATTATAAAACCCAGGTTGTGTGTGTGTGTCTGTTCGTTTATATATTGGATCGGATTTCCTACATTTTTCAACCGATTTCAACTAAACTTCACAGGACTACGTAAAATTACCTTGCGGTGGTTCTGACAGCGTCAAAAATTTGTACGAAATCAATTTGAAAACACGATAAGTGGCATCGCTGTCGCGAGAATGAAAGGGAGACAACTCATATCGAGTTATACTTATTATAAAACCCAGTTTGTTTGTTTGTTTGTTTGTGTGTGTGTGTGTGTGTGTGTGTTAGTTTATATATGGGATCGGATTTCCTACATTTTTCAACCGATTTCAACAAAACTTCACTTTTTTGGGGAAGGTAGTGTTTCTCATTGTCTTGCACACTTTTTTTCTTTATTTTTACATTCAGAATGCTTTAAAAATTCCATTTACAAGGCAATTGTTTATAATAAAATTCTATTCAATCGGTAGACTCATAACAATGTTTTTGTTTGAGTTTGGGTTTGACCAATTCGTAAAAAAAAAAACTAATTAAGACATGCGTGTCCGTCAACCTTAAACAATAATCTTTGTCAATTTTATTTTTCAGTCTTTATGATGGTCGATACTTGATCTATCCCCGGGCTAGTATTTAATAAAAGAATACTAAAAGATAAAATAAAATGAAATAAAATCAGTAACTTTGGTCTTGTTTTGTTTAGCAGCATATCAACACTTCCATGGGTTATTTAATGCCGAAATCTAAATAATCTGAACACAGTTTTATGCCTCCAACTTAATATACTTTGAATGCAGTTGCATTCCTTCAACTACAGATAAAATGCACTGCAGGTCATTTTGCTTTAAAAATGTATTGGTCATTTTTAATATAAAGATGTATTCCTGGTATTTTTACTATAAAAATTTATTTTTATAATTTCATTTTGTTTTTTGTTTTTTGGTAGGGGGCAGTTAACTATTTGCTCATTGCTAGGACCTTAACAGGTGTTTACCACACCGGTTCAGGATGGACCTGGGAACAACATCAATTAAGAATTGGTTCCACGCTCCTCAAAACCTTCAGTCTCCCGATCAGAGGCCTTGCGGCCGAATGTAGTTCATCGTCATTCCCAGGACGAATGATTGCTTCGTCAGTCAGAAGAACATAACAGTTTTGCAAGAACACGAGTCTAGTATGCGAACCTTCGTTTACGATCGCAGCCTAGGATTATTTAAGAAGCTAAGACCACACTTGCATAAAGTTATAACACTAAAGGTCAACTGTCAAATTCCCAAGCAGTAGGCTGAGAGATTAACATGCGAACAGTAACTAGTAAGTATATGTTTACAAAGTTTACCTAAAATTGTAAAAGGTGGAGGTTAGAAAACACCCAAAGCGAATCAGTTTCTTTAAATATTGGGTTGGAGCAATTCGTTTCAAAGAATATTTTTTACTTAATAGGAGTCCCTCGAGAATCAATGATGACCCATCCTAGTACGGCTAGGTGACTTGCGCAGGTTGGTGTGGTTGCAATGGTTTGCGCTGAGCCTCTTTCTACTCCTACATTTCCAGGGTAAACATGTGTGTCATATCTGGGGAGAGAAAGCAGGCCGCCACACGTGTGTGTGGCGCAGAGAATACCAGATAATACTACCTTCATGTCCCTCTGTTTGGATTTTCAAGGCTGGTTTGAATTCGGCGTTTCCTTACCACCGAAGGATATTTTTATCCATAACTAGTGAAAGAAGACAGGGATTCATATTTTTCTCAAGGGTATCAGCCTGCAAGTGAATGTAATGTATTCGACTGGAATTTGAACTCGCCTCTCTGATTTCGCAATCCAAGCCGTAATCCATTACTCCACGGTGCTTCCAATAGATATATGGACATGTGCCATTTTGTTCTACGTGATTTCGCCATATTTTAGGTGAAAGATTCCATCTTCCCAAAACGTGGCTTATTTCTAGGTGATGAACTGGTCTAAATGTTCTATAAAAGGGCTTCAAGATAATTGATGTTCTTACCATTAACAGAATTGTGTAGGCACGGCGGAGTAATGGATAGCAGCTCGAATTTAGGAATCGGAGAGCCGAGTTCGAATTCCAATCGAATCCATTACATTCAACGTTGTAATACCCTTGGGAAAGGTATGAATCTTCTTCCCCCCACAGCTAGAGTAAATAGCAGAACAGACCGGACCGGGTTCTATGGCCTTGGATAGAAACTGGTCTACCGCAGAAAGAAATGGCAACCTACTGCGGGAAAAAAATCTGCCTCGTCAGTCATGTATCTAAAGATGTATGATCGCCTAAGCGTGTATGATGAATGTCGCACAACTGTCTCACGTGCTAATTAATAACCTTGGGAAAGGTATGAATCCTCTTCTCTCTTACCAGCTATGGGTAAATAGCAGGTCAAACATGGTTGTATAGCCATGGATGGCAACTGGTCTACCGCAGAAAGAAATGGCAACCTACTGCGGGAAAAAAATCTGCCCCGTATCGAAAGATACATGATCGCCTAAGCGTGTATTACGCATGGCACATAGCTGAATGACTTACCGTAGCCATTGAAATAAATGGTAATCGGAAGATGCCAGGTCTGGTGGATGCAATAGGTCATACCAACCAAGCTGTACGAATTTCTGGCGGGTCTGTAAATAAATGTGAGGTCAAGCGTTGTCCTGATGGACACCCTCTCAATTGGCCATTTCTGAACACTTTTCATCGATCACTACCTTTAATCGGTTCAATTGTCTGAATTCAATGGAAAGAGCTCGTAATACGTATCCACCGTCTTGTTTCACTAATTTTCGCCATCTTTGTGGAAGCTTAATGATTCCATTCTCCTAGAAATTGTCATCTTTCACGATGATGAACTGGTCTATGTAGTTTTCATTACTTCCAGTGCTACACAAAAGTAAATGAACCCCTAATATTAAAAAACATGTCACTTTTTTTTCCAGATAATTAACAAATCTTAATTAAACCGTATATCAATTAAGAAAAAAAAAATTTATTAAACGAATTACAACCACTTTGAAATATTTTTATCCAGTTGGAATAAAAATATTAACTAAAAATTCAGAACACGTTTAATATTTTGTGACTCCTCCTTCTGAGTTTCATAACGTCGACCAAAATTTTTCTATATTTTTAGGCAGTTCCTGGCAGTAGTTATTTATAAGCTTTCACAGAAATGAAGAAGCTCTTCCCATTAAGAGAATTTTGTAGGGATCAAAAGAAGTGGTAATCTGAAAGTGCAAGTTCCGGTAAGTGCAATGAGTGTGACGGTACATTCCAGCCAAGCTGTACCAATTCTTGTCGGGTCTGCAAAACGACGTAAAGTCGGGCGTTCTACCGATGGAAGACGACATTCTTTTCATTGATCACTGCCTTTAATCAGTTCAAATGGTCTGATTGGTTGGTCGGAAGAAGTTCATAATACACAATAGCTTTTAATTCCACTAGATACGCAGCTTATTGTTTTGATTAATTCATTCATTTTCTACGGCTTATCAACCCTTTTGTAGGTTATTTAAAGCCAGAAAATAATTTTTAGAGTGTAAGTTTCGTCTTCTTCTGTTTTGAATCTTTTCGACAAGCAACATATGTAATCGTCGTCGAACATTACCGATTTTTTTGGAGGATTTTCCGATTTATTATAATCTGAGATGCTGCAGCCAATGGACGTGCAATATTGGATTGATCGATTGATTCATTTTTTACGGCTTATCAACCCTTCGTTATAACAAAAATCTGCTTATTTAACGCCAGAATATCATTTTTATATTGTAAGAATTTTTTTTTCTGAGGGTGGGAGAGATAATAATTAGTAGCACGGTGGAGGAATGGTTAGAGGCTCGGATTGAGGAATCAGAGAGCTTAGTTCGAATTTCAGTCGAGTTCATCACATTCACTTACGTGGGAAAGGTATGAATCGATCCCATCTCCCCCAGCAATGGATAAAATAGAAGCATTGACTGGGTCATATAGCCTTGGATGGTAATCAATATAGGAGAAGGAAAAATCTAAAGTTAAACCCCTTTTACGCAAAGGCTATGAAGAATATTACTTTAAAAACAAATCCACCTCTGAGGGGAGGGACGTGGTAACCTCAACATCTCCGGTGCAAAAAGAACCGGGAAGCCATTGCACTATTCTGCCTTGAATGTCAACATGAGCCACAATTGGGAGATACAAGGAAGAGGTGACCACAGCTTTGCAAAATGCACGGCATGTTATCTATCTATCTATCTATCTATCTATCTATCTATCTATCTATCTATCTATCTATCTATCTCGGTGGGTGATAAAGAGGTGGATCCATGCCTTTTCCAAGGGGATTTGCGCGTAAATGGATATAACGAACTCAACAGGAATTGAAACTCGGCTTTCCGTTTAACATTTTCGATCAAGTATACATAACACGACACACACAACAAAGCTTACAACACCTGGTATTTCCAAGCGGTCACCCCTGTTATGTACTGATGTTGCTTAACTTCGGTGATCGTACGAGTACTAGGGTTTCAACATGATGTAGCGGTAAGCCATAATTATTGTACCACCAAACCAATGTATGTGAGTTCGATTCTTCGGCCTGGTAGTAGAGCTTAATAGAAACAGGACCAACAATTACTGAGCGGTATTAAAAAAAAAATAACAAGACGAAATATCCCTAGACACGGATATTGAAACGATAACAATTTCTCGTGTAAATTTAATAAAGTGTTCAGTTCGAAATT